GTTAATAATTATTCTAGAAAAATATTCATTTTAAATTTGAAAAATTCACAAATCTGGTTTTGTTTATTTTTATTTTTGAATAATAATTCATAAATATGGATTAAATTATTCAAAATTCATTTTAATTTCCAATTAAAATAAAGTTTTTGTTTTCTTAATTTTTTAATTCCTCCGTTCATAAATTCGTGCTTTTTATTTATTTGGTTGGAATTTTCATGTTGAAAAAGTTTTGAAATTAAAAAATTATTTATTATGTGACAACATGAACCACATGTATAATTAAAATATTTTTATTGATTTTTTTTAAATATTTACTTAAAAATATTTTTTTTTTAATTGGTTATTGTCTTTTGGATTTATAATAAATGACATATTTGCTTTGTAATATTTTTATTAAAAAAAAAATATGATGTGGTCAGCATATAAACGATCGCTAGTTTAGAAGTTGTGACAGAAGATTATATGAAAATGTGCTTTAAACACTTTCTTACCATTTTAAGAACACTAGGAAGCATTTCGTTAACATTCCTCGGAAAATGTAAATTTGACTCTTAGTAGAGTTTTGCTTTGTATTATTCGAATTCCCTGAAAAAACGAGGAGTTATTTTCGGCAACAACCAGAACTCAAATATTAAATTTTAAGAAATTCCATCAATTCTTTCTGTATATATGGTACAAAGTGTATTCTCTTTAGATATTTTTAAATATTGCCTACTTTTAGGATAAGAAAATTTAAAATAATTTATAAAATTTAGATATATGGTAATAAACTAAAATTAAGCTATTTTAAGTTAAAATTAAATTTCTGGAAAAAATTTTTTTTGTCCAGAACCTTCCTTTTCGGCTTGCAAAGTTTAAGTCAACGTTCTAATGTAGTTAATAAAATAATATGGAATAAATAAAGTTAATAAAATATGAATATATTGATAATCACGCTATAGAGAATCCTTAAAAAAATAAAAAATATTAAATAGACTTAGACAGTTGTTATTTGCCATCGAAAATAATTGACAATGTAAATTCTATTAAAAATGTGGAAAAAAAATAAAAATATTCCAAATATTAATTTGTTTTACATGAATCTCGAAGGATAATTAAGGTCATATTACGGTGGTAGGGGTATAATTATACTTTTGATAATTTAATAGTGATTTTTAATTATGCATTATTAATTTGCAAATATTCTATAATCATATCTATGTCTCGACTCTTTATTATATTAATATTTCAATATACTTGACATGATTTAGTTATTTTTTTTCACATAATTATTTGCACCTTTTTTTTTATCTTCAACTAAATTGTTATATTGTGAACCTAAAATATACCCATTCACCCTTTTTTTATTCCTTAATATAAAATCCAAATACATAATTTAAAAAATATAAAATTTAATTATTTTGTTTATAAAATAAATTTATGATATTTTTTTTCACTTGTTTTCTTCACAAAATTAAAAATTTGTTATACATTATAATAGATATATTATAATAGTTATATATTATAACAAAATATGTATTATTATAATCAAATACGGAAATATTTATTCAATTTAAATGCTCTCAATAAATTAAATGGCGTATATGTACATATATGCAAATTAATTATAATTTATAATTCAATATAACAAAAATTATGTTGCACAGTTATTATAATAGTGAAAACAAGAGAAAAAATCATATCGAATATAACAAAAAAATTTGTATAACAATAAAAAAAAATTAGAATAGAATAAAAATTGTAATAAAAAAAAAATTTCTTTCGAAATTATTACAAAAAAATTTCTTAACATAAAAATTTTTTATTAAAACCTATCGTGAACTAAAACAACATACATTCTCGTACATTCATACATATACGTAGTTAATGTGTATCATGTAATGTTACTTCAATTATTAATGAGTTAACATTTTCTGTAATTTAAATACCTTTACACATAGCAGTATTTTGTAATTATGCTTTTAAAGAGATGAATTCAATTTTCTTTTTTTTGTTATTGTTTGTGTTGTTGTTAAGACGACAAATGAATACTTAATTGTTATGATTCTGTTATTAAATTTTATTTTTTTTTCTATTATTATTATTTTTAACATTATAATTATTTTAACATGTATACATAAGAATTAAACTAGCTCATCTTCATCACCTCAATAAAATAGAAAATTTACATATTTCAAGCTTAATTTTTTTTTTTTTACTGTACATTCATATGTAAATACAAGCATATTAAGTATGTTTACAAAAAAACAAAATTATTACTTACATATATTAGTTTTTCTATTTTATTATTGCGGTTATTTTCAAACTAAATTCATGTTTTTTAAGATTTTACAATGAAAAAATTAAAAAAACCAAAAAAATAAAATTCGTTCACATGTTCCTTTCTTATTTCTTTCTAATTTAATTGTAATTTTAAATATACAAGCTCGTAAATATAAATTGAAATTTATTACATCAGTTTTGTACTTTATTGTATTTATGTTAGAGCATAATAATGTATGTATGTATGGATGAACATGTAACATAACATCCATAAATTATTGCTATATAATGGAATTTCCATTTTGAATTACATTTTTTTTACATACATTTTACTATCCTATACATTTTGTACTTATATACATGCATATATTTATATTAAATGTACAACTATGAGTACGAGTAGATGTAATAAACCTCATATTTTACATATTAATGTTAGTATATTCACTTATACATACTAACATTAATATATATTAAAAATGTTATAAAATTAAGAGATCTATCTCTATATATAAAGAAAAGAAGAGCATTTAAACATTAAAAATTATAAAAATTTTTTTAACTTAACTACTCTAAGATATTTAAGTAACAAACTTAAAATCGTAACATAAGAAAATATTTTTAAAAATTTGTAAAATTCATTTTAGATTTTCAATGAGGATCTCTTTGATAATTAAATCATTACTTAACATAGTATGTATGCTGTCTTCGACTGTTTATTTTTACATACATACATTATGTATATCATTACTTTATACCGCTTATGCAAATGTGCACAATCCTAACTAACTAGGATAAAACATTATTTATTATTCTTTTCCGTTTTTAACATCTTATGCCAAATTTTTAAAAAATGTGTACCTTGCTTTGAAACACACATACAATTTATAAGTTTTCAATTGTTTGATTACTTATATCCAAGTTCATTACGAAAATGAACACACTTGCAACTGAATAATAATTATATGCAATCAGGCAATCAAACAATTTGCATGATGTGCAATAGATTTGTTTTAAAGGTAATATGGTTTTAGGGCTTATGTATATGACTGCAAAATTTTGTCCTAAGTCTAGATAATAAATTTAAAATACTTTAAAATATTTTATATTAATTGATTAATTTTAAATTTTCTTCATAAAATCTTGTTAAATAAAAAATTTTTTTGATTTCATACATTCAAACTCGAGCTATTGCATGTTTTTCATACATTTGAAATCAAACTTTTGGTTTGATCTTCCAAATGATGACTTAATGCTTGATTTTACACACCATCATTTAAGTTTTAATTAATTTTTACCTTTAAACGTATAAACAAAACTATTATACTCTTTTCAAAATATGTACATATATGTATGTATACAAGTTCGTAATTTTGGAAAGAAAACCCTTTTCTTTGACTTCTTTTTCACAGTTAATAATTTTCGATAACAAGGAAAACATAACAAAAAAAAAAATGTTGTTGAGATTTTTCGCAAAAGTAACTATGATTTTTTGTTTTTTTTGTTTTTGCTCTTATTTTCTATTTTTTATGTTATATTGTTGCCAATGCACATTCTTTCTAATAGTTCATACTAAATAGTCAAAAGTCAAAATAAGTTATATGATGAGAATATCAACTGAAATCCATACATATATACATAAAACTACTTATAACTAAATACAACCATTTTCTTATGAAATTTTAAAACGTCTAGATATGGGAATTATTCATTGGAAAATTGTTTCATTGTTAAAATTTATAGAGCAAAATTTCATAAAAAAAAAAATAATAACAAAGGTTTAAAAATCTGTATAATAATATGTAAGTATATTGTACAATATGCTGCTACTAAACAAAACCTGAAAACTAGGAAACTTATAAGTAAAATGAAATGAAAAAAAAATTTAACAAATTAATTTTGAAAATAAAAAAAAACGTATAAATAGAGAAAATAATTACGATATTCACTTGCAAACAGAATCAAAAGAATGATTTTTTAAAGTAACAATTATGGAAAATTAGGTCTTTTGACATTCTTATGACTAAACATTTTGTATTTTGATTTCACAATTTTTTTTTGTTCTCAATTCTTTTACTTCTATCGTGCAAAATATAAGTAGACATGCTGGTTTTTAATTCAAATTTTAAGAAAAAAAAATTATTAAGTTTAAAATTTAAGAATAATAACTTTTTGGAAAAAAAAATAGAATTTAAGGTCAAGGGAATTAAAGATAAAAATCATTAACAAGATATCATTGAAGAGAAAGTTGTAAAATGTTATTAAAAATTCATTAATATTTTAATATTAATGTCAAAATGTTATATAACTAAATCGTGGTAATTATAAGAAAACTTTTATTCAAATACACACAAAATAATTCCAAGAACTATTTCGATTAATTCATAATATATATAGAAATCTATTTTATTGATAAAGATGACAGCAAATATTGAACTGGAAAATGCTCTTTTCTATATTTACTGTCATGCAAATTTTGTATTAAACAGTTAATCAAACATAAGTTTTGGAATTTGTTGTATATTATTCAAACATGTATCAACAAAATTTCGGGTGTGTTGCTCAATTTTTCTTGAAATTTTTTGCATGAACTTACCAAAAGTACGTTTTGTATACAATATGTTTCAAAAAATCTAAAATTTTCATCTGAAATTTTAATAAGTAGTGGGTATAGGTTACTATTTTCTTATGTAAAAGTCGTGGTAATCTTCTTTTACAATTACGTACTACTTTCATCAATGGTAATTATTTTACAATGGGGCACGGTAAATTTTTCACCGAATTTAATTGAAAATTCTATTAATCTCGAGACAATTATTGTATTCATAATACATTTTTATTATTTAGTTTAATGTAGAGTAGAATAAAAGCTAAATTACATTATAGGCACACAAACAGAAAAGTACAAAAGGCGCAATTATACTGATTGCTGTATGTAATAAACAGTAACTTGCATACAGTTTGCAGTTATTTAATTTTTGTATATGTGAATGCAATTATTATTATTGCGTAGTGTAAGTTAAATATTCTGCTGTCACTGTTTTCTATCACCTCAATTTACAATAACAAAGAATTTTAATATATTGTGTATAAAAACTAAATTATTCAAATCCAAAACAATAATAGTATCTCGTCATACAAAATTATTTTGCAAATTCAAATTTTTGAACTATTTTGAAAATGACGTTTGACAACCAACATTGTTTCGAATATTAAAATATCTTATCTTTATCTTATTATAAATCTATACAATATTTCCGTATAACCTTAATCATAATCTGAAATTCACCTCAAATATTCAACATTGATTGTAAAAATTTATTTCTCAATTCAAATTGTTTTCATTACCATAAAATATAATTTAATACAGCAATCAAATTTACCACCCACATAATATCAAAACATTTAGTTTAATAATTTTAATAAAAAAAATTTTAAATTATATACAAATAAAACATACAATTGTACACAAATATTTTAAAATTTAACTTAATTACATAAATAACTTTTTATATTCATACGCATATGTCAAATTCATAAAAACTCTTGTCTGGCGCACATATGTATGCATACATCTGGCACGTATATTGCTTACATACATAAGTATATACAGCATGTATAGATACTTGTAACAAGAAGTGTTAAAACCTGGTTAATTTACATATAAACTTTTTCTTTTCTTTCTGATTTATTTATTTTGTTTTTTTTTTCACTTAATGTGTCCCAATTTTTAATCCGTATAGAAAAAATATAAAATTTCTCAACAAAAATAATTAAATAATTCGAACACTTTTTATTTATTTATTTTTTTTTTTTGTACAATTACATATTTACAAATAAACTCCATTAAAAATTTTAAAAAGTCTTCTCCTCCTAAAATAAACACCTACTTATACTTGAAATCTTATTATACAATTTGACGATATATGGGTATATTAATATAATAATATGTCAAGAGTACTCATAATTTTTTTAAAGAGGTTATTAATTGGTTTATGTCAAAACAGAGAGTTGAAAACACACAAAACTTACAATGTGATATATTATAATAACATTTAAATATAAGAGTGTGTTAAAATGAAAATAATATAAGTGAATTTACCTACATATAGCTAGGTAATATTACAATTATTGTAACATTACCTCTCGGTATGCCTTTCAGAATGAAAGTTTTTCTCAACTGTTCGAGTTTTTGTTTTTTCTACTCAATGACAAAAACTTGTACCTATAATTTTACGTAGTTTTGTAATTTTGCAGTAAAAAATGAAAATTTTAAATATGCTATTTTTTTTTTATTAAAAATTTTTATCTTAAATGAAATGACAATTCCAATTCGACATTATTTTGCAATTATGCCACATTTATATTGAAAAACTTGCGTGATTTCTATTCATGTATGATTTATTGATGTGCGTATATATATATGTATAATATTGATTAAATTATAAATGGACAACCGTGTGTTATTAAATTTTACACTAAACACGCAATATAATATGGTGATAATTGCTCGGCAAATAATAAAATATAAAATAATATTATAAGAAATACTCACCGGCTAACGTACTTATTGCAACAGTACGTTTACATAGAATATGTAAATTTAAACTTCAAAATAATGTCAAATTTTCATTATAAAATACTCAACTCAGAAAATAATTTTAAACAATTTCAAACTTTTATATAAATGTATCATACAATTTTGACACCCATTATTGAGTTGTTTTGAATCCAGTTATCTTATTTTTAATATTATTTTCTAAAACTGTACTACATTATACCATGATGACTAAAATTGAAATTTTTATACAATATTTATTTTATTATTATGATTACTTGACATATTTAATATAATTACAATGCTTTTTTTTTAATTACAGGAATGCCAAAATTTAGTTGAAGAGAATCGACGTTTAATGGGTCTTGCCTCTGGTATGGTTAGAGGTAATATAATTGTACCAGCGAATTCATCAAATATTGAAGCTGTTATATTACAAACTCAGGTGGATACATTACAATGGCAATTAAAACAGGTAAATTATTAAACAAGACACATAGTTTATTTTTAATTAAATAAATAATTTATATTTCTTGTTTTGGGTCTATCAATTCAAAAAGGATCTTTTGAATAACTAATTGTTGTAGCTTCAACAGTTTCGAAACTGCAACGGCAAATTTGTCCAATTCGATTTTTTTTAACCATTCAAAAATACCACAAGACGTTTGAGTCCCCCTCCCTCATCTATACGATTTTTTTTTTTAAAAATTCTATAAGGAATCAACCCCATACCACATTTATATTAAAACTGGACCACCGTGTATAAGGATATAATTAATTCGAAAGTTAGTAGATCAACGTAAAACTATCCCATGACACTGTCTAATATCTCGATTTATTCTTCCTATTACTTATAAGTTACAATCAAATTTATTATTAAATGTATTTAGTATTGTGATCAAATATAATGTCAAATAAAATATTTAGTATTCGATTAGCCATTTTAATTCATAAAATTTTAAATGCTAATCTTATCTTATGTAAGGACTTCCGTCTTTTACCAACTAATTCAGAGTATTTAATTTGAATTTCATTTGCAAGTTTAACGTAAATTTATGATTTTTGAGGTTTTTATAAAAGTTACTCTTCTTGTTATTGTGCGTCTTTCATTAAATAAAAAATTTTAATGAATCTACATTTACGAGTATGTACGTGATATTCACGAGATCAATACTATATCTTATATTTTTGTCCACTTATTTGACACAAAATTTCTAATACTGAACGTAAAAAAATAAAATTTAATATATTCATTTCAAAATTTTGAAAATATTTAAAATAGTTTTCATTTTCTCGTTTTCTCATTTACTTTTTATGTGCACGTGAGTTTTTTACACGTTATGTTCTGAGAGGTTTCATAAATTTATTGCTGCGTTTGTAATATGTTGAGTAACAAAAATTTTGAAAGATGTTAGACAGAAATTGTATTACGATTTAGTTTTTTGACTGTAATCCAATTAAAATAAATTAATTATTCAAGTTGAAAATTTGGGTAAATAAATTTAATAAAATTTACGATCTCTATAGGAACTCGATCGTAAATTCAATTTCAAAACGCTGGAGTCGCATAAATAATAAATTGTGCCAAAAATTTTGTAAAATTATGTTACTCACGTAAATTATTATAATTATGTAATCGATCTTATATATAATGACACTACTTTAAACAAATTATCGTATTTGTAAAGTCATTTTGTTTTTTTTTTAATAAAGATTGATGTTACCCTCATTATTTGAATAATAAATTAATGGAATATTTATCTTAAAATTTCAGGTGCCTATGGTTTTATTTCTATACGTGTATATTTGAACAAAATATAGATTTCTTCATTTTTTAACTATATTTTCTTCTTGTAACATCATTAAATATGCGACTCTTTCACACGTCGTGCGTGAATATTTACACAATTCAATGATCTTTCAAACATTTTGTGATCATAAACTTGTCATATCGTTCAAATGAAAAATGAAAATTCATTTATCAAAAAAAAAAAAAAAATATTTTTTGATTTTGGAAATATTTTTGGTTTTTTTTTGGAATTTTTCTAAATTTATTTTTCCCTTTTATTCTTACTTTTTGTAAATGCTATTAAAAAAATGTCGAAAAACTAAAGAATTTTTAAATTGAAAATGAGTAAAAAAGAGAAAAATAAAGTTGGGTCAAACCAATGGTTTGTATTGTAGCACTTTTCCCTTCAACAAGTGAAAATTCTGCTTTTAAATACAGTCTATTTGTACCTACCACACTATTAAAATTATTTTCATTCATATATAAAACTATTTCTAGGATTGCCTATATTTAGGATGACGCATATATGCAGTCTTTGAAATAAAGCAAAAATTAATATAAAAAGGGGTTAACATAATGCTAGATTTTAAGGGTTAATTTTGTGAGTTAAGAAAAATAATTATATTTTTTAGTTTCATGGAATTTACTGTTAACTTTTTGCGTTTATAAAAATTTGAAAAAACTTGCGGTTTCAGAAATATAAGGTGTCAAAAATTCAAATTTTACAAATTTCAAGAGGCGATAACTAGAGAGGGGGTGGAGATGGAAAAAAATTTTCTTCTAACGAAATGAACTATTTGTTAATATCTAAAAGCCCCTGAAATTTCGAAGTTCTACATTATGGGGTCTAGAAGAAAAACGAGATCAAAAATTTGGAAAAAAAGAACTTTAGATAACAGTAAATTTGAACGGCCATTTTGTTTTTCTAAAGTTTAACTATAGTATACCGCGCTAGGGGAAGCAAGTCGCTACCTTTCTGCGTTTGAAAAATTTCAAAAATGCTTATGGTTTCATTGCAACAAATATTTAAAAAAGGTCACTTTTAGGGTTTTGGGGGGGTATAACTTCTAGAGGGGGGGAGATAGGTAAAAATTTTGTTCTACAGAAATAAGTTTCTAGTAAAGATCTATGTACGTATGAAATTTCAGCTTTCTATCTTCAAGGGTGTAGAAGTTTTGTAAACAAAAAAAGTGTCCACGGACGGACGGACGGACGGACGGACGGACGGACGGACAGAGTGAAACTAATAAGCACTTTTTTCAAAAAATTTTTGGAAAAGTGCTAAAAAGCGGGCGGAAAAAATAACTTGGAGTAGCAACGTATTATTATTTAAAGAAAATTTTTGACATAAATTAGCTAGCCATCGTCATTATTTGAAAAGATTTATTTTGGAAAAAGAGAGAAAAAAGAACAAGAAACAATAATATCACACTTTTGTTATTTTCTTATTAAGGCACTTTTAAAAATTTATGATGACTATTAAAAGATTCCTAGAAGTGAAGTAGAAGTTGCACTCAAAAGAACCATAATGTTGTCATATTTAATTATTAAAATTATATTCTAATGTAAGAAATTGGTGTTTTTTAAGTATACAAATATATTTTTATTATTTCTTTTGTGGTATTTTAATGAATTAAACCATATTTCATAATATTAAAAACTAAATTTATTAGATTTATATCGGAAGTCAAATTAATTACTTATTTTTATATACAAACTTGAGGTAAATTAAGAATTTTTTAAACCTTTAATATCATAAATCAAAAATAATTAGAAAATTTGAATTTTATACTTTTATATCGTAAAAACATATTTAATTTATATTGTAAAAGTAACATTGTAAATTTATATTGTACAGTGCAATGAACATTTACAATATTAATGGAACATTTACAATATTAAACGGCTCAAGCAGACACGCAATTTATTAGTTTTGCGAATGTTTGATTACTTATTTGTATTCCATAGGTATATATTCAAACGCGTAAACATGCAACTGTATATGATCGCATGTAATCATACAATTTGTAATTTTTTAGAAACTGATTGCAATTTTTAATTAACGAAATCAATTTTTAGTTGACGAAATAGTCTAATGTACGCGCAACTATTTTACAATCAAACAATAAGTGCAAAACTAAAAATTGCATATCCGCAGGAGCCTCAAATAGAACCAGAATCGTATTGAACAAATTTAATCATACAAAATGTGTCAAACAGAAGGCTTTTTCTTTACGTGTTAATTCTAGAACTTTTTAGAAGATTTTTAGAAAATTTAAAAACTTTTAAATTTAAATTGATTTATGAAAAATATAGAATGTTTCAATATTTTATTTATTTCATATTTCTTCCGGTTAACTTACGTTACTTATCTATCTAGATGTACGCATATGTTAACATACTAAAATGTGTGTTAATTAAACACAACTAAAACACTAAAATTTCATTCAATTAATAATGTTATTGTTTATTTTTACTATTAATTACTAATTATAATTTGAAAAAGTTTAAATTTTTAGTATACAGAATAGACCTAAATACATAATCTTCGTATTGTTTCACTTGCATTATTTTTGGAAAGTGCTAAATTCCACACTTAACTATTAAAAATTTCAATTTTGTTTTTTATTACTCGTATGTAGGTTAAGCGGGTTAATTTTATTTATTTACATTAGTAGTTGTGTACATACATGTTTTATAAGCTTAAAATAAATGCATTAAATGAAAGGCTATAAATGATTGAAAATTAGTAAACTAAATCGTAAGTCTTATTCAGAAATCAATTAACATCAATTATCTTTCAAAAAAAATTTTTGGAATTACAACTTTGTAAAGTATATTTTTTTAATATTCTTAAATCAAAGGTGAAAGTATACTAATATAACGTTACGTTACATTTTGTGGAATGATCACTTCTAAAAGATATGCCCATTAAAATCACACATAAGTAAATTAAATCACTTATTTCGAATCAAATGAGTAAATAATCAAACAAACCAAATAAACACATAAAACCAAGTTGAAACTTTGGCCCTCATGAAATTTCTAATGCGTCATTTAAAAAAGATGCAACACGTTTGATTGGCGATCATACATTCGCATGTGTACGAACCTAAATTTAAACTTATGGAACACAACACAAATATGCAATAAAAAAAAAATTAAATTAATTGTTTATTTAATCAACAAATGAGAATTCAAAAATTTTGCAGGTTATAAGTACTTAATTTTAATAATTTTTAAAGAACTGAAATATCGCAAAAGACATATGTTGTCAAATATTCATTTAAAAAGCATATTAGAATTAAATGTCCCAATATGACACATTGAAAATGTTTATTTTCTGTTTAACACAATTATTTTTTATCAATAAATTTAATTATGAAGGAAATATGTTTTAACATTAAGTATACATAACCTATATAATACTTTTGAAGTGACATGATATACAAGAAAAATTTAATAAAATAGAAACTTTTAAGCTGACAAAATCATGTTAAAAACTTTTTTTTTTTCTTGAATAAATTCAATCATAAAAAAATTAATATGGGACCTTGAATTTAATAGAGTGTCACAAATATATGGAATTATAATTTTTTCAATATTTGAAATGATTTGTCAAATTATTTAAAATTATTAAACGACTTGAAATAAATATTAAGATCAAAATCATTTCTAGTTGTCAACTTAAATATTACTTTACATTTGCATACACACTTGTTGGACTATAATGCAAGTACTTGTCAATGACAATCAAAATTTTTAATCATAGAAAAACAAATATCTTATGTGTGTTTTAAAAATGAAATAGTAAAAGTACTTAAATTTGATATTCAATCGCTTTTTACTCTTAATATTTAAATTCAGTTATGAATTGATAATAAAAAACAAAATGAATGACCAGCACACAATTTATTATTTTGGTTTTCGTGATCGCCATTTCTCCCCGTACCGCTTTGAAAAAAAAAAGCATTATAAGAAAATAAGTATAAGATTTAAATTTTTGTGTCTAAGTGCTCCTCTGTTTCAGATTAATAATTTTTTAAATTCATGTTTTGTTTTCGATTTAAACAAGATGCGTAAGCCGAAAAAATTCAACCAAATTAAAGTTGCAACAATTATGAATGAAATATAAAAAATAAAAGTGTCCTGTAGAGAAAATTTTTCAAAAATAGCAAAAGATTTTTGCTTTTCCGAATAATAAATTTGATTAATTTTGAAAAATTAGTTTCCACTATTAACGAAATTCATTACTTTTATTCTTAAATTATTATCACTTCAAAAATTTATAATAGCATACAAACTCACCACAATTTTTATTAATTTACACAAGTTTAGTTTAATAAAACTTAAAGTTTAGAGAGTTGATCTTATAAGCAATTAAAACTACCAGAGGTTTTAGTTCAGAGGTTTACGTTAAGTTGTTAAATCAAATTGACCATGTCATAGACAATTTTCATTTTCCATTCAAATTAATTTGAAATTCGAATAGAATGTATAATTTTTAAAAACCCTTTGATTTTTTTCTGATTTTGTTCAAAACGCTTAAGACCTTTGAATTTATTGAGAGAATAACATCCAAGTTAAATTAATTATTTGCTTTTTTGAACTTATTTGCAAAAGAACTTATATATTTGAAAATAAATTTTTCTAACAATAAATTTGTAAATTTCAACTTCTGATCTGACACATTATACATGATCTTCTCTATAGTCATATGATCAACAAACTTCACCAATTTTTATTAAATTCTTGTTGAATTTTGTTCTCAATTATTTCTTTTATTTATTCTCATTTCAACAAATATAAAACAATGTTTTTTTGTATTTTGTTCATGTTTTAAAGAATATGTTTTTTTATAATTAAAATTTTCCATTGTTAACACTTCTATATTTTATATGCATACATAATTGTAATATGTACTTAAATAAAAATATTTTAATTTCAATAACAAATGAAACATTAAGATAAATATTTTTGTCGCAGACTTAAGAATTTGAATTAACAAAATAAATGCCATACCTATGTATATATGCGTGCATAATTATATGAATATAAGCGCCATTTCCAAATTCTTAAAAAAAAACAATTATAATTTTCTTTTTGGATGAGTAAAAATTTATTTTGTAATGAAAGAAAGTCTAGGGAAAAACACAAAAAAAAATTTTTCTTTAATCATGTTAAATAATACAAAATTAAGTTAAAAAAAAAATACAGTAAAACGTTTACAAAAAGAATAGTAAGAATTCTTTTAATATTCAGCGACAATCACGAGAGCAACAGTAATTAAAATGAAATTTTATACGAACAGTCAATTCTAAGATAACAAAGTTGTCTTGTTTACATATCAAACATTAATTATTGTATTAAGTAATGTTAGATTTGATTAAATATTGTCAAATGATTTTTTATTACCAAGGTTAGCATTATCGTGAAAGTTTTGGTAAAATATACATATCAGGGGGGACTCTTTGAAGAGCCGACTGTAGTTCCCATTTTTTGTGTTATTATATTTTAAAAAATTATTATAATTTTGTATTTATGATTTAAATTACTGACAACAAAATATGAATGACTAAATATGTTATAATAAATTTAATTTTTGTCCAAGTTAAAGATAATATAACTCAGCGAAAACTGCGCGAATAAAAACAAAAAATGTCCTAAATCGTCTGTAATCGCTCGACTCCATACCGATTTTGAATTTTTAAACTTTTCATTGTAATGGCAGTCGATATTATGCATTTTGAAGGAAACAATTTAAATCACTGATGCTTGGGATAAAATTTGTAATCTAATATTTTGGATAAGTTAATTTTAATTGCCGATCTCAAATTTATATTTTGAAAAATATCTTTCCAAGTTTTGTGTATAAAAGTTTTTATTATTTCCATATAGGTCTTACCTTAAATTTTCATGTTAAGATTTGTAAATTTCACAAGCTTTGATTATTCAAAAGTATTCTTGTTTTATTTACTATATATACATTTAGGATTTATATTTATGTCCTAAAATTCGCAAACTCTGAACATGCTATACAAAATACAATGCGACATTTTACTGTTTTGCATATACATAGGTGCGATTTCTCGGACTATTAAAAAATTTAAGATAGAATAATGGAAAATGGCTTTTTATATTTTGTTTTGTTTTCTCTATTCTTTTACATTTTATTAAAATTTCTTTGTCTTTCATCGCAACAAATTATTTATTATAAATGTGTAAATAATTTTTGTTTTCTATTTGTTTATTTTAAATTAATTTTACAAAATAAGAAACATGCACTTATATAAATTTTTTAGATGCTTTCAAACATTCCTAATTTTTAATTAATGAACCTGTTAAAATAATTTGTTTTTTCTTTTTTTTTTAATTTTTTTTTCTTGTTAAATATTTTTAGTGATTATTTTGGATTTTTTTTTGTAATTCTGAGTATATGATATGAAAATAAAATATTGAACTTATGTTATAAGTTCAAACCTGGTCCAGTTCAAAGAAAACCCAAAAAAGACCAATAAAATTAGTGGTGAAGGAGCTGCCATAGGAAAACAACAAGTATATATACATAATATTATTAATGAATAACAACAGAATTAAAGATCATGAAACTTAAATAATAATGAACTGAAAATGTTATATGTGATCAGCAAAATGCATGAAATCATCATTTAACTTCAAAATTTCTGTTTATATGATTACATACATGTATATGGATGGATATCTACTTAAATACACATAATTTTATGCCCTGAAGAATTGAAATTCCAAAACAAGAAAAAGAAGATTCAAATTGCATTTTCCATCAAAGAAGATTTTCAAAAATAAAATTAATTTTTTTTAAAAACAAAATCCCTAACGCAAAACGAAAAAAAGAAACTGAAATATATACATTTTTTTTCTGTTTTAATTAAGATCTTCTTCTTTGATCCCACTCAAATCAAAAATACCAACAAAAAAAAAAAATCGCTCTTGGACCTGACAATCATAATCTCCAATATTTACTAAAATAAAAAAAAAATAAAGCAACTGCTCATAATATAAGAAATTCAAGACAGACGCACAGAGATTTTTTCTTCATTACTTTTAGTATATATTGGGACTCGGTTTGCTTTGACAATAATTCATTTGCATAAATATTTATGCACTTGTATTATACCAGAGATGGTAAACCTTGAGAGATTATAATAACGTATAATACATAAGATTTCAATTGGAAAAGCTTCTTTAATTATAATAAAGCAGAACTATTGAAAATATTGAATTTTCAAGAGTTTTCAAGAATATTGAATTTTAAATGCTTAATAAAATTGGAATTTAAAATTCTTCAAATATTCTTTTATCTCTCAACATACTTTAAAACAAAATTCTATATAACGTCCAAAATTTTTTATAATCCAACTATGTAAATCGTGAAATCTCAAATTAATTAAACCTTAAATGAATTTAATTTAAGGAAACTGAACTTATGCATAGCTCTTTAACTTTAGTTAACAAAATTTCCAATTATCAAAAAAATCCGAACGAAATTTGTTGAAATGCTTAGTCTTTAATAAATTTTTACTCAAACCCAATAATTTATAAAATACTTTAAAGGTAATTGCTCTATATGGTTTCTGAATTGATCTATATGGTTTCTGACTTGATCTATATGGTCTCTGACCTGATAGTTTCTTATTCTAAAATAATTGTAAAAGATTCTGAAGTTTCTTGTACATTAAACTCATTCATTTTATGAAGAATTCACTGCAAAAACTTTTTTTTCCAAAGGCCATTACAGGTTACTTAAATGTTCTTTTGTGTCATAGACTAGATATAGTTGACATAATTGATGTATCCAATACGTGATTGCATATAAATAGTTACATTCATGCATACATCCATTCAAATAAATATCTTGATCTTCTTATCATCATATTTTCATACTCTTTGACTCTTATGTACCCATACATAAAAGAATAAATTTTTTGTCTGTCCATTATAAATTAAAAATAAAAATAAAATGTCCAACAAATATATTGAAAATAACACAAACTTCCTAAAATGTAAATAACAACATCTTTTCATACATATATGTACATACATACTAATATACATACTCTTATATTTATTTTGAATAGGTTGAAGCTAGTCGTGAAATGTATCGCGCTGTTATGGAAGAAGTTGTAAGATTTTTGGAACGTTGCCATCGAAATTTGGAAAATTTACAAAATCAAAATCAACAGCAACAACATCAATCATCATCTTCATCATCAACGATAACATCATCATCAATATCATCAAATAGTATTGGTACTGTTAATAATATAAGACCACGTAGTATACATTCAATGACTTATCGTCATAATAATGATATAAATAGTATTATTGAAAGTGATTCATCATCAATAATATCAACGGGTATAATACAAACAGCGCAACAACAACAACAGCAACCACCAATAGGTACAACACAAGTAACAATAGCAGCTTCAGCATCATCAGCACAACATCAAAATCAGCAAACATCATCATCAGTATTAAATCAATCATCATTATCATCAATATTTTCAAATCAAAATATGAGCCCTCGAGCACGAACTAGTACAAATATAATTGATGCTAACAATATAACATCAACAACATCAGTGGCAACAAAAAATAATAATGGATCTACTACCATAGATGATGATTGTAGTAGTAATAGTTTAGTAGGAGAATCTACAACATCAAATATTAATAATACCACTGCTGCCATTTCACATAATAATAATTTCAGAGATTTTACATGGTAAGCAAATACATATATATATAACCATTTTTCTCATTTATATACCAGTAAACTTTCAAGCATTTTTACTTATTGCCTTTCAATATTATTATTAGTTATCATAATAAAATTTTCATTATTATTGTATACATTACTTTCTTGATAACCATTTTCCAGAAAAATATTTTTAAATTCCCAAATTCCAAAAAAAAAAAAAAAACAAAAAAAAAAAGGCTAAGACAAAAAAAAACTTATTTCAAATATTAAAAGAAAAAAATGCGGAAAATTAATTTGAAAATGATTCGAGCAACAACACCGTACATTTATTACATTTACAAACATATATACGCATACCATACATACATACAAAATCCTAAATATAATAATAGCAAGTTATTAAAAATAAAAAATAAAATATATGCTTTTCTCACATAACTTCACGCTTTAAATATAAAAGTGTGTTTCAAATTAAACGTAAAAGGGGGGCATAAAGAGCAAAAATATTGCACGTAAGATCGCATATCTTTACAACGCATCGGCAAATCATCGGAATATTTTATTACATTTATCGCTGTATAATATACCCTCATATATATATATATATATATATATATATATATATATATATCTATGTAACATGTACATATATATATAATTATGAATTATAGAAAATATTCGCTGTAAGGTATAAGTTTTAGCTTTTGAAAATAGTGTTTCAAATAACGTCAGAAATTTGCTTATAAAATATACGGAAAATCAAAGTAAACTTACATATATAGAAAATTATAATACGCATATTATGTATATATGCAATAACAGGCAACCATAGAGTATCATCAAATATTTATTTAAATAAAAATATAATTGCATGCAAAATACTTATTATACGCATTGTAATATAATAATTTAATAATATAACAGTTTTCGAAAGTAATATAGTCCTCGAAATTAAATAATCGAATACTATAAATTTTTTAAAATTAGAATTTATATATTTTCAATTCTAAAGACTTTATAATTTGTTTTTTTGATCGTGTCATCGAAGAACTAGCCATTTTTTGACATTGTTCCCTTCTTAAACTGTTCTACAATTATTTATTAAATCGAATACATGCTGTTATACAAATGTATACATATTAACTAAATTAAATAATCATTGAAATTATTTTTAAATATATGAAGGTATTATAAAGCCTATTTAATAAATTATAATGCTTTTTTTTATAATTAAAGATTTACAACATCTATATATAGCTTTCTTTGCAATTTCTCCATTATAATTTTTAATTAATTAACATGTTTTTTTTTATTGTTTTCTTGATAAAGTTCCAAGCGGGAGGCAATTTTTATTAATAATAATATAATGGTATCTTCTATTTTATTCCGATATATATATATATATAATATTGAAAAAAGTATCTTGCGCCAAGCATCAATCTCAATATTACATACACATGCATACAATTAATCGGAGTATATCTATATATTTATATCTAAGAGCACAGGGAGTTGATTACAGGTGAAATTTACTTTCGACATTGTATATAGAAATAAAATAAAAATTAAAGGAAAATAATATTAATAGAGACAATATAATAAAGAATCTATTGAAAGAAAAGAAAGAAGAAAAGTTAAAAAAAAAAAAAAAGTTCCACGAAAAACATATTATAAAGGTATTTTAATTGGTTGATCTAATTACAATTTGATTATTTAACCGTGTATTATTATACTGTTACTTCTGTTTTTTTTTTATTCATTGTTGTGCCAAAGAAAAAGATAAAGATGAACAGTCACGAACCAATTATAAACTTATTAATATATCAGTATCGTAGGAAATATACACACATAAGTGTATGTAATATTGTTAAAGAAATATTTTAGAAAAATATTATTAGGTTAATATGTTGCGCTTATAGCAAATATTTTAATAATTTTTTTTTTTTACCGTAGTTTTTAAAATGGTGAATATTTTCCCTTTAAAAAATTTGCTTATAATACAAAATTTTATTTACAACAAAAAGTTTCCCACCAAAAAGTGTTAACATTGAAGTTTCTCTAAAATTATATCCGTTTTTACTTGAAAAATTTTGAACTTACGCATAACTAACGATTTTTCTGTCAATAAAACAAATAGTCTACAATAGTATAATTACGGCAACACTATTAAATTTTATGATTACCGGATTATTTTAGTTGTACGTCAAATTTTTTATATTACGTTTCTCAAGAAATCTTAATATTTTCTCAAATTTTAATGGTTATCTTTGTTTTGCTATTATTAAAATTGACTAAATCCTACTGAGAAATTTCCTAAATTTCTATAATTTAGAACTAATTTAATATTATTGAAAAATTTTTTTCTCTCATTCTTTTTAATACTTCTACTAAATATACTCATATTATTATATTTCCAGGCGAAGATCTCCAAAACGTCAACAAATGACACAATTGGCAGCATCAGCTAGTCGTGATGTTGAAAAATTAGCACAAGAAGCTTTCCGTTTATTACGTACTGCACAAAATTTACTTAATACACAAGAACCAGATTTAACACAATCAAAAACTTTAAATCCAGATTTATCATTTATATCAAATTGTAGTAGCAGCAGCATTAATGTTAGTAATAATGGTATAATACATCATCATCAGAATCATTCACCCATACCAAATGGTATACCATCAGTTGTTATACCATCATGTGTAACATCAGGTACACTTAAATCAAATTCAACAACAAATTTAGATACAGATCCATTTTTAATATCATCATTTTCACGTAAAATCAATATGAGAGAATCACGTTTATCATTACGTAGTAGCACTGATAGTTCCGTCCATTCAACAACATCATCATCATCAAAAACAACTGAAACAGATGAAGAAAATAATACAACATTACAACAAATACAAAATAATAAAATTATAACAAATAATACAGATTCAAATAAAGAATCACCAGTTTGTTCATCAACAATTAGTTCATCAACAACTGAAGATGAAAGTGGTTTTAGTTCAATAAGTTCATTTCAAGAAATTGGTTTACCATTACATTCCACAATAATGTCAAATTCATCAATATTATTAAATAATACAAGTAGCAGTTTAAGTAGCTCTAATTCAGATGAATCTGGTGGTAATAATAAAACAATTGGTAATAATTGTAATAATAATAGTAATGGTGAAACAACATTGATTTTAGATAGTAGAAATTCAACATTAAAATCAATGCAACAGCAACAACAACAACAACAACAACAGCAGCAGCAACAAAATTTAGTCAATGGTATAATTGGATTACCATCATCTGGTATACATCGTCGTTGGGATTCTGCTCCAGCTGTACCACCTAGAAATAGTTTACATCGTTTTTCAACAGTATCACATAGTAACGATGAGGGTCCTACAGTTTTATGGGTATGAGATTAAATGAAATAAAATGTTTCAATTAATACACCAGTTTATTTTTTGAAACATAAAACTATACGCATATACAATATAATGCAATGCGAACAAAAATGTTATTCACAAACATTATACTAAACATAAATTACTATAAAAATATTTATAATAATAAAAATGAGATAAAAGTGAGGTTGTTGAATAAAATAATGAAAAAGAACAATAATAAAATGAAGCATAAATTTTGTTAGAACTTCCATAAATCGAATTTAAAATTAATAAGGAAATTAACATTTTTCGTCCATTTTACAATAAAAAACATTATATTATAATATACATACATACATAAATATATATTTATACATATCAAATATTAATCTTGTCATAGCGCCTTTTTTTTTAACAAATTGAAATTAATAACATTTATTAAAGAAGAATTTAATTTATTAACTTTTATTTCATTAACTACACACAATTTTTAATTATGTAAAACAATAATTTATGAAATTTATATTTTATTTTAATTTAAAATACTTGTAATTTTTCATATTGTTTTTATTTTAATTAAAAAATTATTTTTTCGCTTAAATGTCAAGCTTAATGTGTCATAAATGCCAAGTTTTTAAAGTATTGGATCTAAAATATTATAAAATATAACAAATAATAAAAAGTATTTCATTAAATAATAAAATTTTATATAGATATGGTTTATGTCCAATTATAGATTTTATAGCTAGTATAATAAAATTTTGAATTATAATGTTGCCAGATTTTTTTGTTACCCTACCAATTAAATTGTAAAGATATTATAATATCTCACTAAAATTAAAAATATCTAAAAGTCTATATTAAAATCTATTTTGAATATTGTAATAAAAAATTTATTATACAACACTGTTGATTTTTAAATTTATTTTTCAAAGCATTTTTGTAAATTTCTCTAGTTTTTTAATCAATACTACAAATAACAATAGAAATTAACACAATGAATATTATTAAAGTGTTGTAATAGAATTAATATAATTATCTACAATGTAATTTATTTAATGTTTTATATTTTTATTCATTACTACTTTAAAATATAAATTTAGAATTAAAGAATTCGAACTATTATGTTAATTATATATTTGATCAGAAATAATACATTACAATTTAATATATTTCAAATTAATTTTACAACACAGTTGAAAATCTGGTTGATTTTATAAGAAATTTGACACTATAATACTGCAGACAACTCTAGTACTATTATGTTTGTAAATGTTGTCTGCGGTACTTCTAATACATTTGATTTTATTTTAACTTATTATAACTATTATTTTATTTTACCCTTATAAGATTTTCCATTAGTATTTTAAATAAAAACAATGAATAGATTCTCTGGCAACTCTTATAAAAAATTCAATATAACGTATAATATAAAAATATTAAACAATATTTGCAATATAAGTTAATAAATAAAAATTATACTTTTCAAACTTTAAAAATTAAATATACATAAAAACATACATAGTTTTATTTATTTTATTTTTATATATTTTTGTGAATTACCTATGTATATTTATTTATTTTTGTTTTAAAATTTTTTTTTGAAATGTCTTAATATTTTTCATAATTATTTTGTTATTTATGAATGTATTTTTGTTTAATAATATTTAAAGGCCTTTTCATAAACGCAGTATATCGCAATTTATAGTAAAAATTGCGCTATATTTATGCTTATAAACGAACGCTGTTAATTTAATTTGTTCATAAACATGGTTTATTTTTCATAATATAATGATATTGTTATGTGTCATCTATATTGTATGATAGTATATCATTATATGATATTGTTATAATAAGTAATGATATTGTTATGACTTATACGGCACAAGTAAATCATATGAACTGCTTTGAAAAAAAATTGCATATAATATAATCACCTTATGTTTTTGCAACATTGCGTTTCGCAGTTATTATTTTGCAGTATGTTTTGCGTTTATGAAATTATCTTATACATTTAATTTATTGAATTTGCATCAAAAATGAAATTAGTAATGGTGTGAATTTTTATTCTATTTATTTATTTTTCTTTTCTTTTTTTTTGCAATATAATCAATTTTTATACACTCTTATCCATATAGATATTATATTTGTCTAGACAAACAAAATAATGTACCATAGATATAGATTTATCATAATTATTTTTTGTGTTTACGTTCACTATTTTAATTTAAAATGAATTCAATTTTTTTTTTTGTTTTTTATTCTGAAAATAATTCTGTGTTCTATTTTATAATAATATAGAACTATTTTTTTTTAAATATTATTTTTTAAAAATACATTGTAATACAAATTTTCAAGCTTTTAAACTTATTTTTGTGTAGTTCTTTTTTGTTTTGTAACAAATGAATTTTTGTAATGTGCAAAAAAAATTTCTTTTTAATTAAATTATTTTACTTGAAATTCATTATTTATTTAATTTATTTATTCCTTTGCTTCTAAATTAAATAATGAGGCAGATGGTTTTATTCCGTAATTATAGAATATAATTGTGGTACATCAACATTAATGTGAATTTTCCATTAAAATTGTATTTAAATTATAATTTATTAATAATTGATTAAAGTCTGTAATTCAAATTTTAATTTTAAAAATTTCTCATTAATTTTTTTAATGATTTTAATACCTGCACAAACACCAATATTACACTTTTTTAAATATCTTAAAATAGATTTAATATTTTCAAAAAACAATTTAAATTACTTAAAAACTTGAATATATTTAATTTATTAAATAATTTTGATGAAAAGAGTTGCAGTATCCTTAATTTAATAAATTGTTTTTAATACAATAGCGATACATAAATAAAAATAATCATTCAATTATAAAAAAAATAATTTTATTCCAACTCAAATTCTGGGTTGAAGTTTCATTAAGACTTTAAAACACCTCAAAATATGCAAAATTGTTGTACTCGTATTAAAATGATTTATTTCATAAAATTTTTAATTTTTATTTTAATTTTATTCTAAAAATATTATATTATTTTTTATTTGTAATAGCAATATTATTTAAATTTTATTTATAATATTAAAAATATATTTTTATATTAAAATAAATAAAACTAAAAAAAAAAATTATTAAAATATTCATTTAATTCCAATAGTAAAATGAAAAAAAATTGTAATAAATTTTTCTAAATTAAAAGAGATTAAATAATATCATTTAACAAAAATAACACCAAAAATCAAACAATTAAAAATCAAACAATGAAAAAAATAAATCTTTAATATTGAAATAGCGAAAAAATAATTTATTTTTTATTGAATTGTATTTAATATTTTAAATGTATACAAAAATTTTAATTCTGTCAACAAATTATTAATTTCATTAAGAAAAACTCAATTTGTTTTTAAATTAAAATTAAGATTTTAATCTCCATTTTTTTCTTATTATATATAATATAAATTTAGTTGAATTTAAAAGAATAAAATAAATTTGTAAATAAAATTAAAACTATAATAATTACAATTATACATTATATAATTACTATATTACATAAAATACATTAAATTTTATTCAATTAAAATTTAAAAATCCTAATTACTATTATACATAAAATTTTATCCTAAAAATAAAATTACAAAAAAAAAAACAGCAACCATTAATTAAAATTAATATTATATAAAATTAATAATAATTAATTAAAATAAAAATAGAATTAAAAATTGAAATTAAATAATATAAAAAAAATATTATGTGTAGTACACCATATTAGGCTTCCAATATTTTCTGTTTAAAAAAAAAAAGAAATACATTGTATATGCTTAGAATTTAATAATCGAATTATGAAAATACATGTATTTAAAAAAAAATATAATATATATTTAAAAGTTAAATTAAAATGAAAATTAAATTTAAAAATATTAATATTAGCGACAGTAGTGCGATTATCTCAATTAATTAATTTAAAAATAAAATTATAATAATTTTAAAATTATGAAAAGAAATTATAAAAACTATGAAACATACAACAAAATAAAAAAAAAAAGAAAAATAATATGAAATTGTAAATTGTTGTGTTTAAGAAATTAATAATCGATAATATTATTATTGATAACAATAATAAAATTATAATTATAAAAATTTATTAAAACAAAAAAATGAAAATTAAAAGAAAAATGTATGTAGGGTACTGAATTTTGAAAAAGAAAAAAAAAATTTTTTTTTCGCTTTAAATACAAATTAAATCATAAAAATTTTAGAAAAACTGAATAATTGATGTTTTATTTAATTATTATTTTAAAAGTTTAAGTATTTATTAAAGTAATCAAATGTTTAAAAGGGACAGATTACATCCTACAATGAATTATGGTAAAGACAAACAACAAGATTTTTTAACTAAATAACAATATTATTAAATTAAACGGAAAATAATCACTAAGTGGAGTCATAAGAAGTATTTGTACATTGTTTTCAAAATTAATTATTAAAAATTAATTTAAATAGTAGATATATTGAGTCTTAATTAATGTAGGAAAAAAACTGCTGTCAAATTATGGTAGGGTAAATAAAATTATGTAAATTGTTGAAAACAAGTGACACTACATTTTTGTAACATTGTTGTAGAAATTGTGTAAATGCCAGACTTATGTTTACTATAGTATTTTTTTTTTTATTGAAAATATTGTTATTGAAAACAAAATATTAAAGTTGTTAATATTTAAAATTCCATAAAATTATCCTATAAAAATCCTATAAAATTAAAAATAATATTAGAAAAATTGCATCAAAATAAACCATACTAGTATTAGAACTAAAGATGTAAAACTCACATAAAATATAGGGTATAGTGTATGTAAAAAAATATAAGATGCTATTTGTCACATATACTAATAAAACTCGAATTACAAGAAACGAAGTACATATGAAAGGATGGGGGAGAGACATTCATCTTAAATTCTTTGTGTTTTTCAAATGAAGCTTCAAGTTAGAATTGATACTGAACAAATTACTTGGTTAAAGGGGTTTGGTTATAAGAAAACTTCTATCGAATAATACTCAATTCTATCGAACTGAAACTGATAGCAATTACTAAAAAATATTTGCAAACACTTCTAAAGCATCTAATTTCTAATTCTCAATCTACATCTTGAAAACTTCTTAATACAATTTTAAGTAACTTCTTTTAATTTGACAAATTAAAGTCCAAAACCAAAAATAAAAAATTATGGCTTTTATTATGTAAAAAAAAAATTGATTTTTAATGATAATATTTAACAAAATTTAACAGATTTTTTGTTATTCTTATATTTCTTTTTTTTTTGTTTTTTGGGGCTTTCCCAATTTCCTTTCCTCCAAAATAACAACAAAGCATAAAACAAA